TGCTTGCATATAAAATGCACATAATTATTGAAGTGTCTCTGAGGAATTTTGAAGGAGGATGAGAAAGACAGTGAAGAAGTTCATGGCTCCTGAATGGGTGACTTTGCCAAGAAATAACATTACAGGGGCCTAGAGAGCAACCTTACACACTTTAAAATTTTTTCTAAGACTGTAGCTTGGGAAAAGCATCTTGGCAATGAATGGAAACCTAGGAAAGGGGGAAAGGAGGGCTGGTCCAGAGCATCAGCATCCACTTGGATGAAATACTGTCCTGGGAACTCTCAGGCAGGCAGAGGCAGCACAAAACACCTGGGTGTCTGGGGATCTTGGAAATGCCTTCAGGTCTGGGAACGCTGCAGGGTAGATAAGAACACTGCACCAGAGAATTCTAGAACAGGCAAACAAGTTGGTGATAAAACCAACCGCCTGCTCCACCATTCTACGTATGCTATTTTAGCCTTGTTTGGGTGTCTGTGAAAGTATCAGGTCAACTGATCAATCAACACATATTTATTGAATGCTTTCAGTGTATCAGGCACGTGCTAGGTGCTGGGGATACAAGGATGAACAAAAAAGACAAAAATCCCCTCCCTCATGGATCTTACTTTCTAGTGGGAGGAGATAAGTGAGAAATAACATAAATACATAAATTACAGCCTTCATGTCATTGTTGTTAGTTGGCATCTAGTCGATTCCGACTCACAGTGACCCGATGTACGTAGGGTAAAACCGAACTCCATGGAGTTTTCAAAGTTGTGACCTTTCGGGCTTTTCATCTGCGGTACCTCTGAGGGGATTCCAACAGCCAACCTTTCTCGAGTGCTTAACCAGTTATGCCACCCAGGGACTACTGAGATTGACATGTAGAGGAGGCCAAACGCAGAAGCAGGGAGCTCTGTTAGGAAGCTCTTATAATAACCCAAGCAAGGGATGGTGATGGTGACTTGGACCAGGGTGGTAGCAGAGATGATGAGAGGTGAACAGGTTCTGAAAATTTTTAAAGGTAAAGTCTTTAGGATTTTCTGATGTATTAGGTGCAGGGTGTGAAGAAGAAAAAAAAAGAGACAGAGAATTGAGAATGACTCCAAAGGTTTTTGTTTTTTTTTTGCCTGGGGAACTAGTAGAATAGTATGATTGATTGACTGGGACGGAGAATATTAAGGGCAGCACAGGCTAGGGGTGAAGGAGACAGAGACAGTCAGGAGTTCAATTTTATATCTGTGAAACTTATGATACCTATCAGACATCCAAGAGGAGTCTGGAGATCAGGAGAGAGGTCTGGGCTAGACATACACATTTGCGAGTCGTCAGCATACATATAGTATTTGAAGCCATGACAGTGGGTATTGGCAATCGGTTATAGAGACGAGGCAGGGTTCAAGGACTCAGCTTGAGGCATGCCCGCATGGAGAGGCACAGAGAAGAGGAGGACGCAGTAAAGGAGCTCGAGCAGGAACAACCATTAAGGTAGGAGACAACCCAGGGAGGTGTGCTGGCCTGGAAACAAGAGTAAAAGGTGTTTCAAGGAGTTTGTTGTTGTTAGAAAGCCCTGGTGATGCAGTGGTTAAGCGCTCAGCTGCTAGCTGAAAGGTAGGCAGTTCGAACCCACCAGCTGCTCCACAGGAGAAAGATGTGGCAGTCTGCTCTGTACAGATTACAGCCTTGGAAACCATATGGGGTTGTTTTACTCTGTCCTATAGTGTCGCTCTGAGTTGGAATCGACTCGGCGGCAATGGGATGGGAGGATTGTTGTTAGTTTCCATTGAATCAGCGCCAGAACAGAATGTTGCCTGGTCCTGCGCCATCTTCGTGCTCATTGGTATGTTTGAGTTCACTGTTTTGGCTGAAATGATCAACTGGGTCAAATGTTACTTACAGGTCAAGTAAGATGAGGGCCAATAAATGACCCTTGAATCTAGCAACATGGCGATCATTGGTGACATTGACAAGAGCAGGTTCAGTGGCATCTGCCTGGGGAGGGTTTGAGAGTAGGGAGAAGAGGAATTGGAGAGACTGAGCATGGACGACTCTTCTTGCTGTAAAGAGGTTGCACATTTTTTAATAAAAAGCTAGAAATTCAGGTTTTTCGTTAACCCAAATGGGCACACGTCCTCATCAGTCTGCTTCCGTAGTTTTACTTGTGAAATGCCCCTTTCCAATGATAAAAAGTTTTTACAAAATGCGTTTCAGCAGTTTTAAGTCTGGCACTCCCTTTGTTCGCTGAAGAAAAACAATCACTGCCTTCCGTGAATTTGCAGTTCAAGTTATCTTAAGTTTTATAATCAAAGGTCTATCTCGGAACTTCGTACACACCCACATATGCAAACATATCCCAAGATAATGACCTCATAGTTCTCAGGTTGGATACTGTAACTTCATTATAAATTAGATTCAGTCATTCGAAATATTTTATTATTGATTTAGTTACTTCTTTTCCTGTTCCATAACCACTGCTGACTCATCTTAAATGTTTAAATGATGTTTCTCATTCAGTGAAAATTTAACTGCCTTTTCTACTTGTAGACACAGGTTCATGATGTCAACAGTTGGGCACTGAATTTCAGAAAACATTAAGCTTGAGATTAAAAGCAGGGCAGGGAAAGCTGTCAATAAAACATGCTAATCTAAGGTATCCGAACAGGATAGGGTCAAGTTCACACTCAGATCCACAAAGGTGCTGTGAAGTACAATGATTTGATACTTGTGTTGTGATGTCATTTTGTTGTAACGCTAAAGCCAAGAGTCCTCCCACCCAAGGGCAATGCAATTTCCCAGAAGGCTTGTTTCAGAGCCAAAGCTCCAAAGATGCCAATGCAACCCATGCTGATACAGTCTCATGTTATTTCTCAATTTTATGCTTAATTTGCTCCTTTTGGTTTTATGTATTTTGACACAGCCAAGTGTATATGGGGATTTCCCCCAGAGTCCTTTAAATGCCATAAACTTTAATATAGGAAGATAAAAACAACAATAAGCCATGCCTCCAAGCCCTCATATTTACTTCCTTATTTGAGCTAGATGCTAACCGGTTGTAGGTACTGATTTCGATGTTCAAGTACTTGCACTGCTTTAAAAGCCCTTGTGCCCTTTCTCACCTTCCTCACCCACAAAATGAGAATTGTATTCTACCCTTAACCTGGGCATGGAGTTCTCATTGATGCAGAAAACAGCATCATTGCAATTCTTAAATGATCATCAAAATAGCCTACATGGTGCCTGAGCCAATGCAATTTAATGTGGCTCAGAAGAAAGCCAAGAGCGATGCCCAATTCCCAATTTTAGGCATGCAACCCTGGAATGTCTTCTGGAAAAAATGAAATAATGCTTCTGAAAGTCTATTGGGTTAGTCAGTTTTCAGCATAATTGCCTTTTCTCAGCTTCCTAATACCCAGAAAACCTTTGAGTCTTTAATGTACAAAGTTCAACAAAAATAACTTCAAAACAGATTAGTTCTAATTATGTTTAATATTTGTTTGCTGTGTTATTGAATAAACCACATGTGCTTTAAAAAAAATTAACTTAACTGTATGTCAGTCTCCCAAATTTTAAGTGTACAAATGAAATGGAAAACATTTATTACACAAATTTAATTACAATTCTAAGAAATAAACATGCAAATTAGATAGAGTTCAATTTGCACATGTTAATCCTCATCCTTGATCTCCTTTCTTTCCTCTCTGATTTTCAGTCTGTGTGTCTCCTTGATTTCTAGGGTGCCAGGCCGCGAGAGGTTGGGTTTTCACAGTCGTAGATCACTGTTTTAAAGAAGTGTTATATTTAGCACATCTGGCATAGTAGCAGTAAACAAACATTAGAGTCTTTGTAACACTTTTGCTCAGGTGCCTTCCCCTGACTTTATTAGGTCTATGCCTTCTAAGCCTCTGCGTTCATTACACCTGAAATGACCCATCTCGACTACAGAGGGGTCCCTAGACAAAAGTTATGAATTAATGTTTCAACCAACAAACTCCAACTGAGCCCAATTCAACGGAGAATAACTATTTGCAAAATAATGTGATCTCGGGGTTTAAATTACATTTCTCTTGACAAAGGACAACCTCCTTTATTACTTCATTTTTTTTTTTTTTTTTTTAGAGGTTTTCCCTGGGGGCTCCCCACCCAAAAAGGGTTGCCAATTCAAGTTGCAGCAGGACCAAGGTTGCTTTTTTATACAGACGCAGCTCAAGAGGGGAATGGCGGGGGCGGGCGGCGAGGGGAGAATAACTGTTTGGTCCTGCAAAGACATCTGTTTCTCATCTCCGTTTGCTGTGGCAAAGCAGAAGAAAGTCTTTTGCAAAGGGTGGGAAAGGCACAGCTTTTTTTAAATCACACACCCACCCACCCACACACACACACAACAACAACAACAAAACTAGACCAAATAAAAAAAGGAAAAGACATCCCAGAAGGTTGCAGAGTGAACACATTATTCGGTTGGAGCCAGGCCCCCAGGGCTAGGGCGGGAGCCCGGGAGCGCGTGGGGTCTGGTCTGCGGGCTGGAGCTGGGCCCGCGTGTCCCCGGGCACCGGGAGGAGAGGGGAGGAGAGAGAGGAGGGAGGGCGGGAAGGAGGCAGGGGGCGGGCTGGGGTGGGGGGGAGGGGGAAGGCGCCCGGTGTGCTGCCTGAGGAGCGCGGCGGCGGGAGCAGAGGGAGGGAGGGAGAGCGGGCGCGCTTGTCATGTTCCCTCTCTTGCCCTGGGGGCATCCTGCAGAACCTCTCCTCGGAAATCCACGGGGAAATGGCAAACAGGATTGACGGGTTTCACACGCTCCTCGCTAGACAGAGCCGCTCATTACCATAACCGTCTGCAGAGACGGCGGCACAGCGCCCCAGACGCGGCGGCGGGACTGCCGGGACGCTCGCCCGCCCCGCAACAGCGGCCACCGCCGACCGGGCCGCCG